TTATCATCCATTCTTAGGTTTCCCAGGGCAGCCTTCACCTACATGGCCCAGCTAGCTCAGGTGCCACTAAATGCCATTAGAAGGGAAAGGAACTGGGAAGCAGCCAATCTCCACTGTACCTGGCACTAACGAGTCAGCAGGGTCAGATGGCCAGRCGTCACTTGGCTATGTCAAGCGTGTTGGTGACTTGCTGGAGCATATCCTTCCCAGCTGCTCTCTGCACCTGCTTTTCCTTTCCATGGCAACCAGGACACACAGGTGAGGGAAGGACTGATGCACAGGCTGGGTTTGTGCTGGTGTGGAGTCAGGTGTGTCTAGACTGTTCCCAGGAAATAGGAAGGGTCACAAACCTGGCTGACCACAGGGCATCCTTCTACCCAGCTCCACACCCTGCCCAAATGTCTGTGCCTGTGAAAGGCTGGGGTAGCAACCCTGAGCTGGGTACTCCACACACCACCTCCACTTCTAGAGGATCCAGGTGTGCCTGTGCTGCTCCTAGCAGCTTTACCAAGGGAATTCTACAAGCTTCCAGGTCTTCAGTGGTTAGGTGAGTGAGATTCAAAATTAAGAAAAGAAAAAAAAAGCCTATCTGAGATCACTGGTTCTTAGAGCATATTTGTATTTGTTGTCTGGGTTTATATTTTCTTTTTTAATGGTGAAGGACCACCAGAGGAGATTGCTCCAGCTGCAGTAATAAAGATCAGAAGGTGTATGATGGCTGGTTCTTGAGCTGTGTTATTATTCTCATTCCTTCCAGATTGCTTTTCCTTGTAGTTGCCAAAAAAAAGCAAACTTACAGCATGCAAGGAGTATCTCACCAATGAGAAAATCATCCTTAAACATCCTGAAACTCTGGTGAGAGACTACCTGCAAGGAAAAACTAAACACAAGGAGGGATTTATCTGTTATGGAGAGCTGTTTGGGCTGCACATCAGATTGGTCCTTGAGCTGGTTTGTCAGAGACAGTCAGATCCCTTGACTCCAGAACTGAAAGCTGGTGAAAATGTAAGAAAAATCTGCATAGAACAAAGATCCTCTCTTCAGGGGTTTCCTTTGCCAAGATTTTTATGTTATGAAACACAGCTCCATGCTGAGTGAATCATCCCCAGTTGCATCTACCACGGCTGCTCAGAAGACAAAATATCATCCAACAGTTACCATGCTCAGCACCTCTGCATCTGGAAATGCAGACTGCAAACATGACAATCAAACCTGCCAGCCACCACTCTGAGCATCCAAGCCTTGAATGATGCAAAATGAGTGGTGGACCAACATCCAGAGCTTTATTTCTCACCTTCAGAAATAAAGGCTCAAATTTTGCTATTGTGAACAGGAATGTGACTTGTGTGAACAGGCCCCTGTGTTAGGCAGCTTTAGCCTTTCAACTGTAAAATCAAAAGGAGAAGCAATGGTGGAATTCTGGCCAGGTTTTCTGAAAGGCAGAAAGAGAAATTGGGACAAGGAAAGTTACTTAAGTTCTTTGGCCTCCTTAAGTTGACTGGTGAATTTACAGATGTAGCTACGTAACACCACTGAATGTAATTAAATATACCGCTCATCTTTGCAGATGTCCAGGAAGATTCCTGTTTACACACAGCACAACTGGGTGAGAGGGACAGGACTGCACAGCACGTTGGGACATTCCCAGTGCCTGGCAGGTCACACTCAGCACTGGCCAGGAAGCTGAAACACCTCAAACAATGCCAGACTCTCAGGAAATCTGTGCTTGCACTTCATTTGCACTGTCTTTTAAATAGTCCATCATTTAAACTGCCTCAGATATGATGCAGGAAATCAAAAGGCTAGTCCAGAGATGGTGTCACTGTTGAAACAGCATCTGGCTCCTCCTGGCTGTTTTTACACTTAGTTGTTTTGGGTGGATCTTATTTCCACTCCTATCAGACAAAAAGACAGCAGATCATTTCTAACTTGCCCATCCCAAAGGACCAAGAGAAGTGTCAACACCTCTAAGATGGAGCAATAGTTGATGCCTGCTCTGCTGCCAGCATGGTGTGCTGCTGAAGCATAAACAAATATGCACCTGAGAAGGTAGTGCTGAGCAGCAACATTTGCACCCCTTTCTCCCCACACACTTAGGAGCCAAAGCAAAATATGAGATGTGGTGACAGGATGTATGTTGAGGAAGGCAGAGGGTAYAGAATGAAAATTTGTGGGCTAATGCATTGATTAAAATAAAAATAATAAAATCATAGAATGATAAAAGTATTTGTGACCGAAGAGATCATCTAGTTCCAGCCCTGCTACTATGGTCAGGGACACATTTCACTAGACCAGTTTGCTCAAAGCCCCATCCAACCTGGCCTGGAACATTTGCAGGGGTGGAGCATCCACATCTTCTTTGGGTAACTTGTTTCAGTGCCTCACCACACTCACAGTAAAGAATTTCTTCCTAATTTCTAGTCTAAACCTGCCCTCTTTCAGTTTCTAGCCACTTCCCTTTTTGCCCTTTTGACTTTGTCAAAAGTCTCTTTCCAGCTCTCCTGTAGCCCCTTGAAGGAACTGGAAGGTGCTATAAGGTCTCCCTGGAGCCTTGTTTTCTCCAGACTGAAACACCCCCAACTTTCTCAACCTGCCTTCGTGGGAGAGTTGCTCCAGGCCCCTGACCACCTTYGTGGCCCTTCTCTGGACTCATTCTAACAGATCCAGGTCTTTYTCATGTTGGAGGCCCCAGAGCTGGACAGAGGTCTCTTGGTGTGATCTCCTGAGAGCAGAGTAGAGGAAGAGGATCATATCCATGCGATGTCCCCTGCCCACTGCGACACCACTCTATCAGGAAATCACAGCATCATGTGCTCTCAAGCTGGGGCTAAAAAACTAATGTGAAGAGTGGCATTTCCTTCTGCTGTTTCTCTATGACTTTAGCATAGCTTTGGACTGAAAAATTAACTTTTACCAGAAGTACCAGGGGTTCCCTGAATGACAGGAAAATATGCATATGAAGGTAGATAATTTGCTGCTGCTTAAGAGTCCCAGTCACTGAAAGTCCTCATTTCCTGCTCTATGTCTCCTTCAAGGTCACACATTTACTGTTGCTTTAACTTTCCGTGCACATAGCTATATGTGAAATTTGAGGAAACATATTGTTGTGGGTTAAGATTTTCCCCTTTTTGTTCCCTTCCTTTGGGAATTTTTCTTTCCCATTTGTTGCTGGGATACACTAATTGCTGGGTCATCCTTTTAGTGGCTGGGCTGTTAACGAAGACAATGATACCTAAACTATCTTGCTAAGCGCTGGATGTGTGTGCATTTGTGTGGTGGTGGTGGGGGGGTAACTTCACTTGTTCCGCTGCTTCGCTGGGAGAAGGAGGCTGCTCCGGGGAGAGCTGGCCTGCCCTTTTTCTGCGGAGACCAGCATCTCGGCTGATTGGTTTTCCTTTTTGCTGCACGGTGGTTTTCTCTCCTGTGCCTCGCCGGGAACCTCTGCGATTCCAGCTTCAGGGGTGAGCTCTGCTCCATCCCGTTTCGCAGCCGCCGGATTTCTGCTCATCTCTTTGCCGTCCCGGGTTTCTTGCTGTCCAGAGGAGAACCGAGAWCGGCGTTTCCGCTGTGAGTTTTGCAGAGAAACTTTTCTCCATCCACCTCTGCCATTTTGTGACAATCATTGGCGCTGCGGGAGATCTGAGCCAGCCGGGACGCACGCCACCGCGTCCCCTGCAGCCTCTGGAGAATCGTCGCACCCGCCCTGCCCAGCTGGGAGCCAACAGCRYCCCTGCCAACTGGGACTGTAACTGCGCCAAAGGGGAGGCTGTGTCTCTGTAAGGYTGTCACTGGGTTTAGGACTGGGCTGGTTGTTGCTATTGTTATTGTTACTTGCTTCACCTTGTTATACATTTTAGTAAAAACTGTTATTCCCTTTTACCCATATTCTTGCCTGAAAGCCTGTAATTTTTTCAAAGCTATAATAATTCAGAGGGAAGGGGGGGGGTCATATCCACCACTCCAAGGGGGGTCCCTGCCTTCCTTAGCAAACACCTGTCTTTCAAACCAAGACACATACCAAAGTACTTTTTAAGGGGTCTGTGGTCCCTTGAGGGACCTAAAGGCATTGCTAGCAATTTAACTGTCAGGAGCTTTATTTTTTTAGAATAAATATGGTGCTGCTTTTTAAACTACAGGTTTTACCATGAAGCTTCCACAGTGAAGAACCCTGATCTTCAGCTCTGTAAGTAGAGACATGCAAGAGCACTAAATGGGGAGATGGCAGTGGATGGGAACATGGCATGTTATACAAGTATTGTTAAAATTTCATGAGAAGATCCCTCGCAAGGATGGTCTTGAATCCTTTTGTAAGTAAATCACAATTTTWAAAAATCTATTACTTTATCTGCACCTCTAATTTTGACTCATTTTCCCCACTATTTTGCTGCTAAAGTGAATAAGGCAGCAGGATGTTCTCACACCTCCAAGGACATTTCCCTCTTATGAAATGACTTACAGAAACTCAATATCTGTTTCTTGTCCTTTCCCCCTGCCCTCAGAGGAGATCCCTTGTTAGCTCTGTGATCAATAAAAAACATATCTTCAGCCACAAGTGAACCTAGTTTATTAAAACACAGCTCTGACAGTTAATGGAATTGCCAACAAAAGTGCAACGTGGTCAATACAAAAGCAGTGACCTCGTAAGTGAGGTACATATATACTCTAGATGCAAAATTATCTGATAATTGGGTGCATTGGACACATACAGACAGAAACACTCTGGTGAGATTAGACTGAAGCAAATTTTTTGCATTCTCTTGCAGTATTTGAAATGAATGGTATCTCATGAGAGGCTTCAAGCTTGTCACTTGTTGCTGCTCAGGTCTACTCCTGACAGGTGAAAGGCACGGAAGAAGAGTTTGAACTTTCTTTCCAATTATGTGCCTGCTGTATCTGCATATGTTACCATCTCAATCATATTCCCACTGCAAACCAGTGCTAATATTCCTTTTTTCATCAAGCATGCGATCAAGCAGTCCACATGGCTACATTAGGTCAGCTCTCAGGTATGCTGCTGCACTGAAATAAGGAGCTGGAGCTTGAACTTTAATGAAGACTTAGGATAAAACTCTGTGCTTACATCAAAGGCAGCATCAAGTGACTGAAATAGATTGAGCATAACCCTTAGATAACTAAGAAAAAAAATGTGCCTTTCCCAGTGATTTGCCAAGTACTTTTTCACCTGACCAGCAATGATTTATTTTCTGCATATTTCAGACARAGCTGAAAATAGCTTACTGCTGTTATTTTTGTTTGGGAGCAATAACATGCTGCTTAAGAATTCCTTTCTCCGTAAAAAGTTCAGAGCATTCGAAAGTATCTTCACAGGCAGGAGCCTTCCTTTGGTTGAATTTCACAGTGAGGGAAGGCTTTTCGCATTTTTGTTAGTTTTCATGTAAGACTGGCTGCTTTCTTGGAAAATATGACTAAACTTCTTGTCTGTTTTTAGTAAAAGATGAGGTAATTAAAACCAAAATCTAAATATGGTCGAACTGAGTTTGGAGCCTGTTTTCACTTAGGTCTGATTTTTAGAAAACGTATTTTAGAAAATATGCAGAGACTTAAAATACGTACAACCGTTTGATGAAGTTTTCCAAAGTACATATAGGAGTAGCTTCCCACTGTTTTTCTAAAACACTCTCCTCCACCTTCTTCGTTGCCCATCTTCCCTCCTGTGCCTGGATTAGTGCTTCCCTGTTGCATTTGTTATGTTTGATGTAAGGAAATTCAAACTATCTGGAAGTTAATCCTGTGAAAAAAGTGATCAGTTTACTCCTCACAGCAGACAGGAGATCAGGGATTGGGGATGCCTTTGGCAGCAGTTTGTTGTCAGACTGATGTACCTGCACAGAGGAAAAGGCCCCCTACATACCTGCTAGGACCAAAATAATTTTTAAAGTTTGTGTTTGGATCCCTGCGTGGGAATGGAATGGCTTAGCCTCAGCTTTCAGAAAAGCACTGGCAACACTGGGCATGAAAACAAAGTGACCTTGAAGGAATTGCCACCACATGAARGGCTGCAGGATGCAGCCCAGTGCTCCGGGCGCCCGCATCCTCCCATCACTGCCAGCAGTCATCTTACTCACAACACTCCACGATGATGCTACTTGCTTGAAATCATTCTCTCACTTGACAACCCATGAAATGTTAAGCAAAATACCTTGGGGGCTGGCTCAGAGTGGAAAATTCATAAATGTTAGTGACTTCTGAGCAGCTTGAGCTAGAGGTGGGTCCTGTTGGCCTCTCTTCCTGCTGTTTAAGTCAGACTCAGCTGAAAGCATCAGTGATGCTTTACATTTCTTTAATGTGCAACCCCTTTGCCAGTGTTTGCAAGGGGAACTGACAGGGCACTATGAATCCATAGGGAATCACACTGTCTGATCTCCTGTGCATGCAGAGAAATGGAGCGTTGAGAGGTTTAGGCACAAGTACTGAAGTGGTCAGGTGAGCAGCTTCCTTTCAAGTCACTGAGTACTGTGAAATGAAATTAAAKGACTCCAATAGTGAAGTAAATCCCTTTCAATCCCTTGTCCTGGGGAGGGTGAACAACAAAGGTATCTCTACACTGCTAAACAGAAGACAACCAGGGATYGTACCCAGCCACCTGACCTCTGATCATCCTGACTCAGTTTTGGTCAATCACAATGAGCTCTCTCCCAGAGCTTTTGCTCCAGAGATGTCTGACTTTGAGCAGCACAGCTGCAGGCTGGCCAGCAGCACAGCCTCTGTCATTGAATAATACGAGCCCAGTCTAGATTCCCCATCAGGACCATATTTTTATTGTTCTGCAATTCTGCACCAGCTACTTGTAGCACATATTTCTGATTTTTACTTTGAAATCTTCAGCTGCAAAGTAATAGAGGATGGGATCCAGGCAGCTGTTCATGGCAGCAAGGCAGAGAGTGACCACCAGGGCTTTGTGCARGCTGGCCTGGCTGCAGCCACCGTACATCAGGTGGACAGTCCGCAGGATGTGATAGGGCAGGAAACAGAGGAGGGAGAGGATGAGAGTGATGACAATGGTTAACAGTGCCTTCTTGTGACAGACTGCCCTCCTGCTCTGCGGGGTCCTCGACTTGAGCAGTGCCTTGATGGCAAACACATAGCAGCAGACAATTGTGCAGAAGGGCAGGATGAAGCCCACGACCAGGACAAAGCTGTTCATCACGAGGAGCCTGTGCGTGCTGGAGGGGTGCAGGTCCAAGCATTTGACTGGGTTGCTGTAGCCAGCAACTCCCTTGTCCAAGAGAGGGCTGGCAGCTGCCAGCAYGAGAATCCAAATGGCCGCACAGATTATCCTGGCATACTTCATTTTGGTCATTTTTCCATGCTTGAACGGATGGACGATGGCTACAAAACGAACCACGCTGAGCACGGTGAGGAAATAAATGCTGCAGTACATGTTCACATACAAGRTGTAAGTCATGATCCTGCAGACTATATCACCAAATACCCAACGGGATCCCAAGAGGAAATATGTGGCCCGAAATGGCAAAGTGCTCACAAACATGAGGTCTGAAATGGCTAAGTTCTGCATGTAAATAGTTACCGAGGTCCTTTGTGAAATCTGGAAGAAAACGTAAATGGAGAGACTGTTTCCTACAGCACCCAGGAAGAAGATGAAGAGATACATGATGGGATAAATCACTTGTTTGAAGCTGTCAGTTTTGCAGTTGGAGGAGCTGTTGGTGAAGTTGCCATCTAGCACCACCTTGGAAATATTCGTAGTCTGAGCCAGGGTGTCCATTTTTCTGCCAGAGTGAAAAGAAGTAGTGTGAGTGCTGGGTTACAGCCTGGGCAGGGAGTTTGGAAACTGCCCTGTTTCATTGAGGGCAGAAATTGCAAGATGCAGACAATGGTGGGAAGTAAGGGTTTGTTAATAAGTAATTACTTGTGATGTCCCAGTAAAAACACATCTCAAGGCACAAATCCCCAAGTAAGCTCTGAAGAGTTTCAGTATTACAGCAGCTGGTTGTTGTCTCAGCCTATAAAAGTGCTGCCTAGGTGAGTGCYAGGTGTRTTTTAATGACAATTCYCTGATCTTTGCAGTGCAAAACAAGCCAACTTGCTGTCAGCCATTTTGTGGCAGGGAGGTTTTGAATCCCCAGTCACCTACCATGGAAACGTCAAAACCTGATCAGAAAAGAAATCACTGCCCACTGCTAAGGCTGCATGTCAAATTAGGGTGGAAAGCCAAAAGAACTGAATTTGCCTTTTGGAACCAGGGAAATTTTTCTTGTATGTTTTTGGCCRTATTTCCTGAGCAATACTGGACACATTTTGATGGATGTATAAATTAAGGACATTTTGACCTTAAACACTGTGCAAACACTGTGCTAATTATGCACGGTTCCTTTTTTTTTAAGCTCCTTTCTCCTTGCACTGTATTTTTTCTCTCTTGTTAGCTTCTGGTGGCTTTCTGTGTCTTTTTCTGTGGGGCCTTTGCTTCATGTACCACTCTCTTAACCTCCTTTGTGCTCAGCTGCACCAGTCAGTCATCTACGCACTACAGCTTCCAGGGAAGCCCACATTTGCAGCCCTAATGAAAACGGCCTCTGAGAAAATGGGCTGTGTTCACAGAGAGTGCTATTTTTTCTCCTATGAGGCTACAATTCAATCAAATCAAAAACACTCACCACTAAAACACTCTAAATAATAAATTTTTTTCTCATTACTGTCTATTTCTTTGCTGAACTCTTGATGTCTTATCTCAGCTGTCCTGCAGCTAGTAGTATCTTCAAAGAAAGATTTCAGTATTGTTTCTTGTTTGACAGTGGGAGCAATTCCCTCTTTGTATCTGCCAACATATTCTAAAGATGAGGCATGGAAATTTTTTCCTGAAAACCACAACTACATGGCATTTCAAGATGCATGGAAAAGGAGCTTTTAATTTGCCCCAGTGAGAGTGGTAAAGTGGCCATGGTACACAACTGCATCCTATCTCTTATTCTGAACCTCACTGGCTTCACAATTTGAAATWAATTTATTTGTGCAGGTGGAGTCTCCCTGGGGAAAAAAGCTTTACATTTGGGTTCTCCGAACACCCAGTTGCCCAGTGTGGGATTCCCAGTGTGTTGTGCACAGAGGCTAATTTGCAAACTCAAGTCATGGTGTGGGAGACTGAGCTGTGTTCAGAGCAGCCTGGGGTGTCTCCAGGGGGGAATCTCAGAGTCTGAGTCCCTTAATACAGCAGCCAGATGTGCCCCAGCAGGCGCCTTTTATCCAGCCCCACTGAGATGGGAACCGTGTGAAGCATAACCCCAGGCTGGGCTCCCAAGGAACACTTAATGGACACTGGGTCTCAGCACAGCCCTGGACTGAATAAATATGTGCTCCTAAAGTTAATCTTCTCCTCACATGAGATCCTCTTTCCTCACAGAGGAGAGAGACAAGATATTATTCCTGAAAACAGATCTTTTGCAATCAAAGCACTTCTAATTGTTTTGGTTGTTTTTGAAGAACAACTCTCTGATACACACGTTTTTTTGTATGGGATCAAAGACCAGCTTTTCTCCAGACTGAATATGATCCTCCCCCCGCATTTCGCAGGGAAACATTGCAGCCTGAGGTACTGCACAGGGAAGAGTCCTTCCTGTCCTTCTGGCTGTGTTTTCCTGTTGTTGAGTGTCCTTGCCTTTAGAAACCCCAAAGCACGAGAAAACATGAGTGAAGGGATTTGCCACATGTAGCAGCATTCACCACTGAGTGTGAAAGTTGTGAGATAGAGGAGTCAAACGAGGTTGAGGAACTTGGAGCATGGGCAAATTCCAAGTCCTGCTCAGCACTCTGAATGATGTCTTGTGTACCCAGTGCTGTCTGATGAAGGGTGGGGCTGGGGCAATGGAGATCCAGCTRATGAAAAGCCCTTGGGTCCCTGCACCCTGAGAGAGTGCTACCAGCACAGGGGCTGAGCCACCTTGCTCAGGCTCCCCATATGAGGGTGTCTAGCCAACAGCTACCAGTAAAGATATTTTGTCCTCTCACTGCAGAAATGTTCCATAATTCTCTTTCCAGCTAAAGACCAAGAATAAAGGTAGAATAATGCATGTGCAATGAAGAAAATTCAGTATCCTTGAACCTGGCAAGAAAATCAGTACTAGACTCCTCTCTAAAGTTATTCAAACTCAAATTTCAAGCTGTTATGGGTTGTCTAAGGGAAAGAAGCTGGAGAGAAGTCAGCTGAAAGCTCTTAAAGCACCGTGGTACCTGCCCACAGCAGAGGGCCAACAATGACCCATGAAATTTTCATATGTAAACAACCCCTCTTAGCTGTGCTTTGACACACAGATCAATGAAGAAGGGAAGGTGAAGTGAAAAATATATTTCACACAGGACTGCCTCAAACAACCACGGAGGATAAGGGGAGAATTTTATCCCTCCTCGATTCCAAGAACTGTTATTAGCCAGCTGGGGTTAGGAGATGGCTCCTAGATACACAGAAAGAACGACCTATCTAAGGACAGGCAATAAACTTTGTTTTCAGCAAAAGTGTCCAGACTGTCTCCTGGGTCAGAAATGAACAGGAAGGGTTAAGGATGTGAGACTGGACCTATAAAACTATTTTGGGTCCCCCAAAAGAAGGAAGATTTGCAGTAAGATCTAACAGCATTCTGAGAGAAAAAAAAAAAAAAAAAAAAAACAGGAGAGAAAAGGTCAAACTGAAATGGGATTATTCAGTAATACTGCAAGATTTCTCCAACAGAAACTCTCTAAGAGGAGATTTTTTTTATATGAGTTTTACTGACGGAAGCTATCGAATGGAAGCAGCTGACACATGTCCTGAGGCTCTGACAATCTCCCTCACAGGAGAGAGAGAAGATCAGCTGAGCAAGAAAAAGGGAGAYTTTTCTGAAATAATTGCAGCATAAGTAGATTAGATGTAAAGCTTGGGTGGGTTTTTGTCTTCATCTCTGTGATGATTATTATGGATTTTATAAACAAATATTTACCTTTCACTGCAAATTACATATAGATATTATAAATTACATATATATATATATTATTAATATATATTTTGCCTTTTATCTTAGCCTGGTTTGAGTGCAATTTAAGGCAAGGTGATACCAGAGAGACATTACTTGCCTAAGGTGAATCTCACACCCTTAACAAATGGATGGGTGTGTAWGCCTCATGAGGGCCTGATAGAGCAAAAGTAAGAGGAGATTTGTCTAATTGGAGGAGATATTAAACTMATAGAAATACTCCAAACCCATCATATTTTAAGCTCTGGATGTGGGAGCAGTCTGCCAGCAGAGGTGCTGAACTGCACAGCATGTGACATGTATGCCCACCTCACCAGGGTGTGCTTGTGGGGTGCAAGGGSCTGGGGACACAGAGGGACAGGGCTGGCTGTCTTGAGGCGAGAGTGGCTTCGCAGGAGCAGGGGAGGAGCAGGTCTGCCCAAGGAACAGACCTTCTGAGGTTTCTGTGCAGATCACTAGGGGTGTGGGAGAGGAACTGCAGTCACTGTGGGTACCAGGGATGAAGGGAGTGATGTTCAGGGCTCTGCCAGGAGGCTCAGTCAGACCCTGTACTGCCGTGCAGGGATTAGGCAGCCGAGAGTAGAAACTGAGGCATGTGAGGAACTGAGGGAACAAAGGTAAGAGATGGAGGAAGGAGAGACTGCATCRTACCCCATGCAGATGCTGGGGCTGCAGACTGAGAGGTTTACAGAGGAGGATTTAATCAGAAGCAACAGAGGAGCTGATGGGAATAGCAGAGCAAAGGGCTGGACTGACAGCCCTTGCGAGGGCAGTGAACCCGCATCCAGTGCGCCTACAGTAACTAAAGAAGGCAAATCCAACTGCCCACAAAAACAATAGACTGGCACATGGTATCTTCAATATCTGATCAAACTTAAATCTCACATGTAATTCTGCACTGATGCTCAAAACTGAAAAAGAGACAGGGGAGCTGTCAGGCTTGGCATGAGGCCAAAAGCCTGGTGCAGGGGGAACCTCAGAGACCTGCAGGAGAGAGGATAATCAATAGGAGCCTGTGTTGCCATGCTACCAGCTTTATGGTAATGACAGTGTAGGATGCACGGGTGGAGAAGTGGCACTGTGTATGAGGGACTGTACAGCTTGGAACAGTGTAAAAATACTATGGCTACAGAAAAGCACTACAGGGTTCTTATAGGCAGACACCACATACTCGAATAATACAAATATAGTATTAGAAATGCACTACCGAACTCCTTATCGTGATTGTGACAGTTGCCAGAAAACATTAAGCGAGGGTAGGAAGATGAAAGCAGGTAGCAATGGGAAGAGGTTTTTGTGTATCTTTAAAAAGATGCAACGCTGCAGCAGGATGAGATATGATATCCACATGCCTCATTCCTAGAATAATTAGTCCTGCAAACAAATCCACTGCCCAAGATGCCATTCTGCCTTGGCATTCTACCTCTACAAGGTGCCATTTGATCTTTAGTGCTGCACAGGCCCCAGTTCAAGCAGTTTTTGGTGGAGAGGGTTCTGTACTGGCACTCACAGCAGAGCTGTGCTCAGCAACAGCATGGTGGGACAGAACAGCAGTCCTGAGAGAAAGAAGCCTACATAATTTCAGGGGCCRTTTAGAAACACAAACAGAAAATGCAACAAGCCTACATTCCAAAAGAAGTAGACATTTTAAGAAATATTGAGCCCAGTGTCTATCAGTAGAACAGTTACCAGGATTATTCTGAGGAAAAGATCTCCATTTGGAAAGCAGAAGGCTTCTCAAAATGGGGAGACCAGGAAAGTCTGTATTGTGACATATCAAATGTGCAGAGGAAACTAGGAGCATTAAAGAAAAAAAAGTGAAGAGCATCTGGTAATGCATGTTCCGRTTGACAGTAGGTTTTGTAAACTTACTGAAAGATGAAATATCACTTTGGAACTGGAAAGGTTGCTTGGTGGCAAAAGACCTCTTAGGGACAAGGTCACAGCAGGAAAACTCAGGGAATTCAGTCTTCCCCACCAAAGAAGTTGGGATATTTCATGTCTGATGCAGTAAAAAGGCCAGAGGAGCCAACTCCACTCGACAGATGTGAGCAGGAAGTACTAAACCAACCAGATAAATGAGAGGCCATCAAGTAATCACAACCAGATGGCACTCATATCAGTATCCCAAAGGATCTCAACCATGAGACTGCTGGCCAAGGCATATAACCCACCATTGCAATCAGGCGCTGCACCAGGGGACTCTTGTGCTATCAGAGCAGCTCTCATTTACAAGAAAAGCTTGATAAGGCAGCTCAAGGTCATGAGCTGGTCATCAGTCCTGGGAGATACTGACCACTGGGACTGCTTTCCAACTCTGGGACATTTTGGGGGTGACTGTCATGAAGAATGATGGCACTGAGCTCATTGAAATGCCAGTCTGCTGAGAAAGAGTTATGATGCCATCTGAAAAGTGACATCCTGTTTCACTCAGCCAGTGAGGGGCTGTGATGACAATGGATGAAGGGGACCCAGCAGTCACTTTATAGGTATATATGGATGTACATATAGGGCCGAGGGAGGAGATCTTCCCCTCTGCTTCACTCTTCTGAGACCCCACATGAGCCCCACATTAATCTCTGAAATCCTGACACATGAACATCACAGACCTGCTKGAGTGGGCCCAGAGAAGGGCCACTAAAGGAAATGACCAAAGGGCTGGAGCATGTCTCTTGTGAAAGACAGGCTGAGGGATTGGGGGCTGATCAGCCTGGAGAAGATGTCAGGGAGACCTTAYAGGACCTTTCCAGTACCTAAAGGGGCCCTACAAGTGAGCTTGAGACCCTCTAAAGGCATATAGCAATTGCACAAGGGGAAATGGAATCCCTGGAAGTGTTCAGGGCCAAGCTGAATGGGGCTTTAAGCAACCTGGTCTAGCAGAAGCTGTCCCTGCCCATGGCAGGGGGATTGGAACCAGATGATCTCTAAGATTCTTTCTCAGACAAACCATTCCACAATTCTATTGTTATGTGTGCTTTTATAGACTTGCATTTGTCAAAGCCTTTGACACAGTTCTGCAACAAAGATTTAAGTACACAAGTTAGYGGAGAGCTGGGAGGCATATTCTTTTGTGGGCTGAAAGCTGGCTGAAGTGGAGGAACAAAGAGGGGGCTCAGTAAATCAGCAAWGAAGTCCCCTAGGGTTTGGCACTCAGACTACATTTATTCAATATATTTATCACAAGCCTGGAGATGACAGTTCTCCAGGTTGGCAGATGCCTTTGTTGAAAGGGCATGTAAGTATATAAAATATACTAATAATATATATTAGTATATTTTAATGATGCATGCTGGGGAAAAATAATCTAAATCATGTGTGATTGTATGAACTTTAAACTGGCTGTTACATTCAGGAAAGAGCACTTGGCATTGGCATCACTCACGGTTTGCTGAAGTCAGTTCTGCATTGGCTACAGCAGCAGAAGCCACTAAAATTGTCAGCAAAATGAGGGGCACCATCAAGAACGCTATGAAGAACAAATAAATTTTATATCTTTCATAAAACCTTGATGCATTCCCATAGTGGGCAGTTCTTGTCTCTACACCAAAAACAGAGATTATGGAGACAGAGAATGCGCAGAGAGGCAAGTAAAGTAGTCAGCAGCCCCGGGCTACCCCAGTTCTTACAGAGGGCAGTATGTCARTCAAGTCATATGGCATCTCAGCAGAGAATGGGATGGATTTCYGTGCCATGCCTGGACAGGAGGACAGCCCTTTTGAACATGTGTGGTAAAGGGGTGCTGCTGCTAAAAGGTCTAAATATGAAACYTCTACTGTCTCTGCAGGTGTAAATATGAAACTCCCCTTTTCCAGACTGCTGATCTGAGATCTGCTGCTCTGAAACACTGAATTCACTATAACATGAGGAATAACAAAACAATTTCATTTTAATAAGGTGTCCTGCAAATGCAAAATTAAATAGGGAAATCAGGCTGTTCCATCAAAGTATACTACTTTGCTGTGTTAAGTGATAACTATATGGAAACTCTTCTATGCCAGGAAAAAAAAAAAAAGATGGTATTTGCATCTATCACAGTAACCCTTTGCTTGAAGAGAACCCCATAAACCTGTGTCTGTTGTTTATTACCCAAATAAGAAAGCAATTATAATATTGCTGCCATAAAGGAGATCATTTGCATTTGCCMCTGCACTTCCAAGAAAAAGGGGAGTTCTCATGAGTTTTTTAAAGTTTCCACTGGCTTTCTTTCTAATATTCACTTAGTGCTTCAGGAGCASCATTACCAAGAATAAATGTTAAAAAATGCAATATTTAGAATTAACACTAAGTTCATCAAAACATGGCATATTATTAAACTTTCTACATGCACAATAATGAAAAAAATCAAGAGTCTGACATTTAACACCTTTTATTTTTAAAGTTCGCCATAAGCCAAATACATGTTTTCCATCTAGTTGAAAAACAAGGCTCACTTAATCAGATCCACAACTTCATTGTTATCTTCCATCTGGCAAACAATCCTAGTTACATAAATCTACCCTTTTTCTGCCAAAAGAACTTCTCAAGACCAGCTTTGTCATAGAGAAGTTTGGTCAACAATCATTACTTCTGGCAAATAATACTCTAACTGCAAACAATAAAAAAGAAAAGTAGATTGTATTTTAATCATTGCAACGGTTTTATTAACATCRGAGAAAGTAGAAAAATCTTGTCCTACCTCAGCTCATGCACCTTCTGGTGTATTCAGTATTTGCTTCTTCTATTTGCAATTGCTCACGAACTTCAGGTTTTTCAATGGAAAAGAAACCCACAAAAACTTGATGCAAAATCTGAGTGCTACTAATGCAGAAGCCACAGAAAAACCATGAGCAGGGTGAGGGGAAGTAAATCCTGATTGAAAGTTCCTACATGTTCTTAAAAGAGAAATGTTTTTAGCTCAAGGAGTGGTTGGGCAATCTTTCATTACTTTCACCCAATGAAAGAGGCTCTGCAGCTACGTAGTATGTTCGGAAGCACTCTGAATTTCTGTGTTTGGGCCCACACTTCTATATATGTGCTTTCATTAGTTAGAGTTGCTCAGAATATTAGAGGAGATGCCCATATAATCCTTGCATGAATCATTAAAGAGGTTTTTGGAATTACGGAAAGGATATTTGTTTTGGTTACTTCCCAGAAAACACATAAATAACAAAATTGTAAACAGGATACTGGGATTTGGTGTATAATCTCATTCAACTCGCAATTCAAGGCTGAATTAACAAGCTGAGGGACTAATCTTCCTTGATTTTTTTATAGGAACAGATACAGCTCTGTTAGCCCATGAGCAAATGGCTGCAGTGAACTCTCTCTTGAGTTTCACCACTTCTTAGTGGAGCAATGCTGACYACACAGATGGGTGCTCTGAGCCCACTGCTGCTATGAAATAGGTTTCTATGCACTCTGTAGGTGCAAAAGCTTGATTATTTCTGTTCAGTGCTGTCAGCATATGCAGGTGGACCAGGCACATTCAAGCGCTTTCTGGTGGCTGTGTTGTGTTTCATATCGGCAGCAGGTCAGGAGTCCACACCTGGCTACTTCCCACAGCAGATGGGGATTCTCCAAAAAACCCCACCATCTTGCCACCTACACTTGTAGTTAGCTACACCCCAAAATGGATAAAGATTGTAATCTCTCCTCAATTTATTGCTAGTACATGTGAGTTTGAGAACAGAATAAATAGTCCTCTGGGTGTGCTCCCCATGTTGGGGTCACAGTGGCAACGTGCAGTGGTTGCAAAGACTCGTGTCACCAGAGCTCACAAGTCCCTAGACCCACAAGCAGCTCTGTGGGTGCTCCTTTTTCAGCATGGAGCCAAAAAGGACATATAAAACCAGCTTAGCTAAGAGGTAGTCTAACTCTTTGRGTCTCCAAGGTGAGCACAAAAAGCACTTTTTGACATTGCCTGCATTTGAGTTGACAGAGCAAAGTAAGCTTAAAAAATTTCCCAACAGGGATCCACACAAAGTGAATTTTCAAGGTGCAACATGAATGAATTAGTACTCTCTTGAAACCACTGTGCCTAACACAGATTTTGCCAGCTCTTGTGGCCCCTAAACCCATGGATACGTGTCCTCTTCCACTGTGGTTGTGCTGTCTGCTTTGGTTCCTGCTCCAGCTCTTTCCCTGTCTGCCAAGGCCTGACTGCAGAGTGGCTCATGGGGTCTCTCTAACCCCATCCAGTCATTGAGGCAGGCCCTGTGGGCACCTGAAACAGGATGTATTGTCTCATCCAGCTGTCATGGACTAAAGTAGGGTAGAAATGATCTTGTGAGCAGCTTTGTGGACCGAGTCCTGTGGAGAGAGCCATGATGTATATCAGGGACTGCAGCTGCTTCAGCCAGTGGAGCCACTGCCAAAAGGCAGCTTTGGCCTCAGCCTACACTTGGGCAATGCCMCAGTAACTCAGACTGCATCTTACCTGCAACTGGCAGAGACTAATTTAGGCATTGCAGCAGCAGTCTGATGACATCTCCATCACAAGGCATGTGGTGATAATCACCTTGGGACTGATAGGCAGGCGGCTCTCAGACACAGAATGAGAGACTGAAACACACAGAAAAGTTTAGACATTTATCACATTTTATTTTCCTGAGATATTTTGAGAACCTCTCTTTCACCATGTGATGTGAATATCTTCACTGCCTGTGTAATTTCCCACATTCACCTTCTTAAACRCCCTGAATTCTGGAGAGTGCTGCTTCCTCCCCTTCATAAAGTAATTCTGTGTTTTGCTTTTAGCCTGGCTTTGAATAAATGAGGTTGGCTGCCAACTCACCCTGCACCTGATGAGCTAGATCCGGAGTGACTGCTTGGAATTTTTTAGAAACATTYGCTGTATGACTCAGCTTCCGAGGGGAGTTTATTACATTTCTTACTAATAAAAACTTTGGTAGTTCTGGAGAAGACATCTCAGAATATCATGAAGAATCAAAGACTTTCATCAGAAGATGCTGCATGCATATCACATATTCAACAGTTAAGAGCCTAGACTATTTCTGAATTTYGAGTCCCTAAAATACGGAGAGGTTTGAGGACACAGCAGAGTGCAAACCACCCCTCTGGGCTGCAGCTAGTCTCCATCCTGCCTCTGTTTCTGTTTCCTTTTGCATTTCTACCTCCGCAACAGCCCAGTTGCAAGACAGCAACGCAGGAGGGTGTTACTCATCCTATTCCTTTCCCTTCCTCRGGAAACCACATGCCCTCCAGCCCTGTACAGGGGTATTGCCCAGAGAGGAGAGCTCCAAATGTGTGAAAAAGTTGGATTTTGGATCTGAAGTAAGTACTCCAGGCTAAGGAGCAAAAATTTAGGTTCTCCTTCCCCTTTTCAACATTTCCTATAGGCTAGTTCAAGTGTCTTTATGGGATGAGCACTCTCTGGTGGAAGGGCCAGTCAAGGAGCCAGTCTGCCACATACTCTGTACAGGACACCTTGGACATCCCAAATCTACRTCGTGCTGTCGTGCGCTCCATAGGCCAGGCCTTCCCCTCCAGCAGTCCTGGGCCACCCCAAAGCCAGGTGAGGTGCTGTCTCAGAAGAGTCCATCCCTACCCCCTATTCTGGTGCGTCCCTCCAGTGCTGCATTCTCGTTGGGCAGAGATGACAACTGTCATCTGCTTCACACCTCAGCAGAGAGGCCAAGAGCACCTGAAACCCTGGGTCTGGCACAGCCCAACAGAATCCTGCAAGATCATCAGCTCACAGAGCACAGATGCTCTCACACAGCAACTCCAGCATCTCAGCTTCCCACAGACACAAGGACTGTGCATGGGAGACATGGCAATCCCCAGCATGAGGAGAGCTGGGCTGAGATACCAGGTCTCCCAGGCAACCCAGGGGAAGGAGCCTGCATATTTTTCCAGTTGCTCAGTCAATGTTTTCCTGGCTAGAGGCACAAGCTTCTAGTGGCAGGGTTTCACTTTCATGCCAAAAGATTTTTGGTAAAAATGGATCTGTCAAACAAACAGGGATTACCTCCATTGAAGATTTTAGCACTACATGACTTCAACATGGCAGCTTAGCCTACTAACACATTTCCAGAGACAAAAATTGCAAGCCTACATTCATTTTCTGTGCAATCCAGAATGTTAGTAATCCATTTTCTGTGCAATCCAATGTTAGTAGCTCATCTGCTGTCAGCCATAAGGCTGGATGAATGGGGAGACAAAAGTGACAGCTGCATGAAGAAGGGGGAAGAAGCAGGGGCAATTTTAATAGGAATTATTCAGAAAGGAAAAGCACAGTCGGTTTTCAAGCTGTTTCTTTTGCAACATTAATAATGATTGCTATTTTAATTGCCTGTCGTCCTGTCTTATTTGTTTGCAGTTCCTCATTAAAATACTGTTGAGAGTGGAGGAGCATTAATATATAGCTGGAATGGAAGAAGGAATCTAATGCTGTCTTTAAGTAAAATGAACTGTTCTTGTTTAACTGTGAAGCACTAAAACCGGTAATGTTTTTGCCAGCTCCTTCAAAGGTGGCTGTGGGCCTTGGGAAAAACTGACTGTCTCCAAAAGCTGTGGAGCTGATGGCAGCTGGGAGCATTAATGTTCCTCCCAGAGAATTATCGATCCAATCCTTGATTCTGAAAAGACTGAACTGGAGCAGGACAGAACACCAAACCCTTTCTAAGGCCTTCATCTAAAAACCATTGAAGTCACTGAAAAGAATAGTGTCTTTTTGGATTAAAACCTAAATACGACAACTCAGAAACTGTGACTGGGAAAAAACCAACTTTTTTTTTTTTTTTTTTTTTTTTTTTTAAGTCATCAAAAACATTTCAGATCTAACATATGCAAGCTTGTCAGCATGTCAGGTTTATTCTGTCTTCTTCATGCAATGTACCTTTCAAAACCTTTCTGCAGCCATTTCTCTATCTATCACCATGGTGCTGAAGTTGCTTTCTGCTTGTGTTGTTATTTCTGCTTTGTGTATTAGACATAACAGGTTTGCAAACTGGCAGGATAATTTAAGTGTGGAATTTGAAGGATTTAGGAATGAAACTAGTTATCTCTGTCTTAAGACTTGGTCTCTGAAAGGCTTGTTGTTATTTGTATATGTTGGCACATGTATGCAGGCATGCACACAGAACTGTGTTTTGGTCTGTGTTTGCCACATGTTCTGTGAATCCTGAGAATTCTGTTGAACTTTCCTTCCATACAAATATAGAACCTCAAAGGAAAACAGGCACACGTTTTTCTCTCTTTAATGACATTTTCRCAATATCCCTGACCCACGAGCTGGATAAAACCCAGCTGCATTGTTCTAAAATCAGAATGACCAGATGTAGGTGCTCTGCTTCTTATATCCAGTGGCAACTGTAACATACAACCACTGTAAGATACAACCAGTGTAAGATACAACTGGAAAATCCTTCCTCAGAACCCACTACCACCATCCACTTTCATCAATGTACTCACTAGCAATTGTTAGCAAAGCCTTTATGACAGAACACTGCGTGCCTCTCTGCAGCTCCATTTGTTAACCACAGCATCTTCATGCAACTCTTTTTTTCCCCAAATCAAGTACATTTTTTTCCTTACCCAATCCAATTCCCATGCAATTTCATGCTGTCTCTGTTTGTGGCAGGGGTGTGTGTATGTCCACATACTACAGGTGTGAGTGCAGCTGCATGGATGCATGTATATACATTCAGATGCGAGCTCTCAGAGACAGCCCATTTGTGGGCACGTGCACTTGTAACATAAATGCATTTGTATATGCACATGCTCTGTAAAAAGTTGAAGTCRAGCATTAAGACCAAATTGTGTTGGCCAAAATTCAGGAAGCCACGGAAATAAATGTGGGACATAGGTGCCCTGCTCTTTTCATCTGAGGYTGATGGATTCCACCTGCCAGAACTTCCTCTCCTTGAAGCATATGGGAAGTTCTTCCTCCAGGCACTGGCTGCAGCTGACACAAAAAAGTAAATTTAAATTTTTGTCCTTGGTCTGGAATTTAATGATGTTTCTTCAGAAAAAACTCAGATGGGATTAGATCTCAGTAGGCACATTTTCTATTCTACTGACTTTCAGAAATGGCTTATTGTGTGCTGTTTGATGTTTTTTAATCTGTATTTTATAATGCCACATAAAGTTATCTAT